ATTGGTTTTAAGGAATATAATATATATGGATACACGTGACTTTTTATTTTTGTAGTCAAATCTACCGATCTTACTTTCATATGATCTTATTTTAGATTACTGTAATTCATTTCATGAATTTTTTTACCTTCACATGGTTTTATTTTACTACACTCCTGACCAAAGCCATATCTATATCTGTGTACATATTTAAAGTGTACACATTGGTTTTCTCCTTACTCTGCTCTTTGACATAAACCCAAATGACATGATCTGCTATTAAATTTAATTGTTCATATTTAAATATTAACTTTCTTTATGAAATGTGTTTTATAGGTGACAGAGGTATTGTCGTAATAAAATCTGTTGAATAATCCCTTCTCTCACCACTATTTTTAAAAAAATCCTAAGCATTACTGTATGTAATTCAGAAGTGCACTGTATTTCTAAGTTTGTCTTGTTTCAGTTATGTGAATGATCTCTTCTATTTTGCTCCAGTATTGTGCTTTTATATTTACTATAATTGTGTACTTCTTTTTAATGTATGGGGGTGCAGGTCCTTCTGTGAAGCCTTTTTTATCTCTATATTTCACACTTTTCCAGACAAGCGCTGAATCATAAGTACAGCATATAGCCAACGCTTCTGTATTAACTGGGATTTGTAAATTAATCCTGAGAGAAGGGACACCCTCAAGCTCTCACTGGGTCTTAGTTACATATGCAGCTTTTACTAAAACTGAACAGCCACGTCATAGTTACCAGCTCTGGCATGGGCCAGGAGGGCTGGGGACTGTGTTCCTGATCTCAAAGCTTTGGCATTCAAGGATGAAATCCAAATTCTGTCCAGAACAGAAGACCTAAAGCTGCAGGGCAGGAAATATCTGGAACTCTGCTTTGTTGTTGTTTTTGCTTTAAAAAAAAAAACTCAAAACCTTCCTGACAAAATTATTTGTTTATAAATGTAAAATTAAATTACTGCTATTGTATTCACTACTTCTAAATGTCAAATTTTGGGGATGTGGCATAAATTATAGATGGCTCTCATGAACTCTGCTAGAAGAAAAAAGAAACTTAGTAGTTTCCAAAAAATCCAGACATTAATCAATAACTTCATCCATAAGAAATTACTGATCGTAGACTCTCACACATACAAAAATGGCAGTTTCACATGGCTTAGCTAAATGGACGCCGACAGCTCCTTGGGGGATGTTTTACTGGCTTGATGTTATGAACACTATAGAGTTCTTGCCTTTCTGACCATGAGGCATGCAAAAAAAGAAGAAGAAGACGAAGAAGAAGAAGGAGGAGGAGGAGGAGGAGGAGGAGGAGCAGGACGAGGAGGAGGAGGAGGAGGAAGAAGAAGAAGAAGAAGAAGAAGAAGAAGAAGAAGAAGAAGAAGAAGAAGAAGAAGAAGAAGAAGAAAAAGAAAGAAACAAAGAGAAAGAAAGAAAGAAAGAAAGGAAAGAAAGAAAGAAAAAGAAAGAAAGAAAGAAAGATGTTTTCACTGTGTTTGAGCTATTGATATAGACACACATGGTGTGAAGGAAATTGGTGCCTCTCTGAATGTTAGGTGAAGGCTGAACTCTCCTGCCCCAGGCGGCATTTACTAAGAGAAAGAATCCTTTCCCAAAATTTATCTGACTTGCTGCCTGTGCAACCTTTTGAAAGCGCAGAGCCTCCTAGGAGCCAGTGCCTCTCCCAAGCTCACGTCTGTGCATAAACTCCTGGATCAAGGATCCAAGCTCTCTGGTAAACACCAGGCCCTGTCTCCTGCTGTCCTCTCCTGGGCGGTCATTGTGGGTTGTGCAGTCTACTTTCAGGTCCCAAAATACAGCTTGCTTATTTCTATTTTTCCCACTGAGCGCGCCCCATTGATCTTGCTTCTTCCAGCTCTGTGGCTTGCCCAGATTGTGTCTGTCTCCACATTCCACACTAAGGTTTACTCATTTCCGGGAGTCTCTGGGGGGGAATCTGGCCCAGCTGTGACTGCTAACGCTCACATTGTGCCTGGTTCTGCTCCTGCTCAGTGTGTTTGTGCTCCTGGCTAAGACTGATCACTTCTCTCATGTCATCCCACCCAGCGCTGGGCTATCTTGATGGAGAACATACGCAAGGCATCTCAGTTGACTGTTTTCATTTCATTCTGTGGAGGGCTTGGATGAACATCAGCCCTGCTTAGAGATGCTAAGTTCCCCAAAGTATGTCTGATTCACTTCATTCAAGATTATATTTTCCAGGTGCATTCATTTTCCTACAAATGCTTCAGATTAGTCATTCTTCATAGCCAAGTAGTATTCTATTAAATCTAGATACCACATGTTTATCCAACCATCTGCTTCCAGGATGTAGCTATTATGAATTATGCTGCTGTAACATTGATGTGCATGTGTCACTGTGGTATGATGACTTAAACTTTAACTAGCAACTTTGCGACCTCCACCCCCATAAATAACAGATATATTATTTACTATCTTCACCAGCAGGGGGAGAGCTGGGTTGCAGGAAATTTCTAATTTCAGCCCTTTGAGAGACCTCCATGCTGGTTTCCATAGTGGTCGTACTAGTTTGCTTTCGCACCAACAGGGCAGGAGAGTTCCTTCTTCATCCCAACAGCAAAGAGACAAGGATTAAAGGGGGGAAAACTGTGAAGTTCCCCACAGTAACAGGCTACCACTGATGCATGTCACTGTGAGACTGCTATCCAACAAGCCTGCCCAGACTTTGTTCCCAGTGCCAGCCTCTCCCTACTTTTGTACCTCGGTTTTCTGTTTGTCACCGACAGGCCCTGACCTCTGCTGAATGATTGTCCCCTTGCATACGGTTGTACACCGAGGGGAAGGTGCTCTTGCCCAGGGCTCTTTCCCATTTCTCAGCCTGGAAATGGGTACCCGTCTAGGAGGGGGCCCCCAGGCATCTCTGTAGTCTCTGCTTTTCTGCCCCTCCTGGGAAAATGAAAATGGAAATGAAAAGAAAAGTGTGTTTTCATATTTTCTTGAAAAGTGCATGGATTGTGGTGGATGCTTTTATGTCAAACGCCCTGTGAAGAGCAGGTGTGTTCACAGCAGCTGTCCCTGTTATCTCGAGACCTCTGTAGATTTAACAAATCCATTCAATAAAATTTGCTCACGTTTAGGATGCTTCACCAAAAGTCATATCTCTTTCTGGCTTCAATTAGATGAAGCCCTTTAATAATTAATACAAATTTCTTTTGTTGAAGTTAATTAAATAATGAGACTGGAGGGGCTGGAGCACTCACGTGTAATGGTGTCATTAATTCCCTCTAGTCGTTTATTATTATTATGCCTTGAAATATTTAGAGATGGTATTGCTTGCCCTCAGTTTGAAATCTTTTCAGATGGCTCTGAAATGCAGTAAAGCTCCACCTTTTCTCATTTGACATACAGTTTACTCCTTCATGGTGAAGACAGTAATAATATATCCATTATTTATGGGAGCAAAGTTGCACTTAAAGATGTTTTGTTGCCTAGGAGGTGATATTATTTTATTTTATTAAATATTCAGAGAAACTATGGGCAGACACTACTTTTTATTTTTGTTATATTCATATGACGCTATAATTTCAAAAGTCTTCTGTTTTTACCAGAATTGGAACTGAAGTAAAAATCTGCAAATTAGAAACTGTATGTTTGATCCTAAGTACTTGTTTTATTTTCAAATTTCTTTTTAAGATGACGGGCTGCCAAGCAGTATCTTCTAGTCTGCATACCTTTTAATCTTAGAGTTTAAAGAATTGTTTTTTCTTTCTTTTCTTTTTCCATACTTCTGTATTTTTTTCTATGTCCTGCCCTTCACAAGGAAACCAGAAGTGTGACAGAAAGGTGTGATTTTTAATTTACACCTGTGTCTGGCAAATAATGACTTTTCACACCCCTGTCTCTGCCCGAAGCCTGGGGAGGAGCTCTGCCGCTTCTGTCCTGACAAGTGCAAGCCCTTGCTCTAACCAGAAGGGTGGCTTCTGTGTTTAACCCTTGTCTTCAGTTTTCAGCTCGGCATTTGTGAAGAGTATGAGCCTGTGGCTTATTTCTTTGAAGTGTATTCATTTTCCAGGAAATTATCTTTGGAAGTCTGTTATTGTCAGTCAGTCAGATATGAAAGGTAAACACCTTTCCCCTGTGTCCTGCTCCTGTGATGCTGGTAATTACAACTTCTTTAAATAACAAAAAATAAAAACATAAGAATGTGTAGTTATAGAACTCCCAGAAAGACAATTTCAGTACATAATTTAATTAGTACATTGTCCTATTTCACATTTCTACCTGAGTAGTTTTTCTGTCTTTATATAATAGTCAGTGAATTACTGTACTGATAAATTTATTATTGTTTCAAGTTTGAAACTGAAAGGAATATTAAATGATTAAGATGCTTCAAGTTTCAGTCAAGGGCATTAAAAGTCCTTCGGACTGAATTGTGAAAATGCAGTAAGTTGCTCAAGGAAAACAAATCAACATTCAAATTAGTATTCATTAGTATTATTCTATTAAAATAGAATTATTAAATTAGCAGCAGGCAAAAATAACTGGATGGTTAGAATGCATCCTGGAAACTGTGTACACTTTGTTCCCTTGGAAGATTATTAACATATTTAATTATTTTCCAGTTTGGAATCTGCCATACTAAGTTTTTTTTAAAATGCCATTTTATTCAGGGATTTTTTTTCCTAATCCCGATAGTGTTCAACAAAGTTCCGGAACTGAATGGAATAGGTGAGAAGAACATTGGAGGGAAAGAGAAACCATTAAGATTCTCCAGGGAGCTTTGCTTTCTCTTCTCGCTGACCCAGGGCGAAGGAAAAGGTTTACAAACCAGCTTTCCTGCTGGGAGCCTCAAGGGGTTAAACAGTTTTAGTTTACTAAGTATCTCAGTCAGGCTTTTATCTGTTCCTCTCTCCCTTTCTCCCCTGCCCACCCTTTCTGTAAATGTCAACCACTTCCTGATGATTTCACACCTTTCTTTTCTTTGGGAGGGAACCTGGGTGTTCATGGTACAGGAGTGGACACCATTGTATGCTCTGGCTGCCTCTGCATAAAGCCGAGGGATGACTGTGGGGAAAAGGAGGAGAATTTGAGAAATGAGACCAGGCAATAAGTTAAAATCAGTCTTGCTTTTAAAACGAGCATTTGCTTTCATAGCAAACTGCAAAAAATATTAATTTAGAAAAGTTTAATATTGAGAGTCTAAAAGAGTCTAGCAGAAGAATCTGACTGTTTAAAGAAATTAAAGAGCATCAACCAGGGAAACAATGCTGGAGAATCCTCTGACTTTGATGCTACAGGTATACTATTTATAAGACACCACGATGGAAACTTGGTCAGTGGATCAGGTCTGCAGTTGGTTGGTGGAGAAAAATTTAGGAGAGCTAGTTCCCAGGTTTCAAGGTGAGTTATTTACATTTGCAAATAATTTCATTTGTGTAGCCTAGATGATACCCGAGTCCCCTGTTGTAGAAAATTGCCTTTGTTCCTGTATTGTTGATGATTTCTCTTCTCCACTGCCTATGTGTGTGTGACTGTGGACACAGAGTTGTTGCAACAGACAACTTTCATTTCTGCCTGGACTGGGGCAGTTTCCGCTTCCCTAGTGTCTTCTCGAGAACATAATATTTCAAGGACTGTCTTATATGTTGCATATTTGATACATACATTTCATATGCTTTTGCCTCATACAGACCAGTATGTGTTTTATTTACAAATAAATGGATATTGGCAAGGAGGCTTTACTAAGAAAAATTTCCCAAGATTTCTTTTTCTTTCTTTTTTGGCTTTATAAAAATAATTTTAGAATGGGAGTGGAGAAGATCGCTAATGTGCAAGGAGATTTTTTTTATTGTGACCTCATATCCTGGTTCTTTCTTAAGAGTAGACATCAATTGGAAATACGCAATATCAAAATACAACTAATTTGTGGCCAAAAATGTGGCTACTTTTACAACTCTGAAAAACACGTTGGCTTTGCCTGTTTGTAATGTCTGTGCTTCACTGGGGATTCCAAAAGAAATTCTTTTCCCTCCAGAGGAAGAAATAAGTGGGGCCGCTCTTCTAGCACTTAACGATCGGATGGTTCAGCAACTGGTGAAGAAAATTGGTCACCAGGCTGTCCTGATGGATTTAATTGAAAAATCTAAGCAGAACAGCCAAGAACAGAAGTCTCTTGGGTCCCCGAAGGAGACTGCTGCAGGCACAGGAGCAGAAGCAGCCCTAGGGTGAGTTCTCTGACCTCTGTGCTTCTGCTGGCCGCCTGGGTCTTGAGTTTGCTCTTCCCCAAGGAGGATGCCACATCTCCTTTGGGGTTAAACTCTAACCAATTACAACCATTTTCAGCTGGTTTGTGTGTTCAGTATTTCTAATGAGCTCTTTGCTGAGTTTTATGATTCTAGATACATCATTTTTTATTCACCTCACTTTAAACTATGACAGCAACTATTAGGGAAGTCCTCTAAGCAGAGGGAGCCTATGTAATAACACACTGTGAGCAGAGCCACTGACAGGGACAGAGTAGAAGAGAGCTGCTGGGTTTCCAACATCAGTGACTGCAAGAGGCATCTCTGACTGCTCCTCAATTTTTCACCAAACTGCTTATTTATGTATTTATTTATTTCCTCCCTCAGGTCTCCCTATAGCAGCCAATTTATACTCTTAAAGGTTTCACAATGTAACTTGCCAACCACCCTTGCCACATGAGTATCCTCATTCTTAGAATACTAAATGGTATGATAACACCCCCCAGAAATCAAGTAGAATCACTTGTGGTGGCAAATAAAAACCCTGAGACTTAAGGGTAGTTTTGCTTAGATTTTTTCCCTCCTCATTGTCTCCTGCAATATAAAGAAGATACAATAGAATTCATCAAATTAAAATTTTCATTTGAGAAATTTATATCTCAGGATTCATTAGTGTTTTCATCTTCAAGGCTTTTAGCAAGATTTTTAAGGCTACATGTTTGCCAATTATTCACTAATTTTAAAAATTAGATTGATGTTTAATGTTATCCATTTCTGTTTTTATGTTTTAAAAAGCCAAATCTGTATTAATACGTAATTCTCTCTTATTGTTAAGTAATACAGTGTGACAGAGACTAAGCTTAAATAATTTGATTTCCAGAATATTTGAGTATTTGGGGTACGGGGAAGTCTGTAACCTTGGAAGTCTTGTTTTCAGTTGGACTGGAAATTCTCTCAGCTGATTTACTTGAATGATCTCTCCTGAAGATTGTTTTGGTGCACATTTGTGATTTTTGGTGAGGTTCCCTGCAAGCTTCTAATCTTTCTATCAAACGGAGGATATGAATTCCAAAGAGAATGCAAAGCAATTTCCAGGCATTTTTGGATGAGTCAAGCTTTTGAGCTGGAAGTGCCCTCAGTTGACTGGAGTCTTGATATGGCCTTAGGCACGGTAAAGAAAGCAGGAAGCCTCTTTTCCACTCATTTGTTTAGTAAATGAGAACTGGTTGGATTGACAGGAAATCTGGGCATCATTCCTGGTTCTTCCACTCCTCAGGATGCTGGCTGTTTCTTCATCTACACGTTGTGGAACTCACCTAGCCCTTGGTTGATTCTTCCTGATGGGAAGAGGTTCATAGTCTGTGAACAAATCTCTCCTCTCTTTCCCAGACCAAAGTAGTACTTTGTTAAGGATGAACCTTTATTAATCTGGTTGAGAAAACTCGTCTCAAATGTAGCAAAGAGAAGGAATATCTAGGGATTGTTTCTCTAGTCAGTAAGCAGCCAACTCACTTTAAGGATTGTGCTGTCTGGCATGTAGGTTAAACAGGATTCTGGTGCAAAATTACAGTTGCATGCAAGAAGAAAATGCCTGTTGGTTATATTTGCTTATTGTCAAATATATTAGTCAAATATATCAGGACTTGACAAATATACTGTCAAGTGGGTATGACAGTAGAGAGTTATGAAAATACACTGTTTAATTAAACCATTGCAGAAAGATCAGAAACTAAGTTCAAGGAATAAGCTTGAAGTTACATTTCAAAACACTTAATTTCAAGTCTCTTTTGTGATATTTACTATTCATTTAACTATAGGCATCTGATTGACTCTTCCCAGTTTTCGCTTCTTCAACTATAAAATGAAGAGGCAGGGTTAAGAGCCTACAGTGACATTCCAGGTTAGAGATGGGAGGTGCGTTTCAGGTTGAGTGGAAATTCTACTTACTGGTCAGTGGTTATTGGGTGCGATACTCTGCACAGCATTTGCAGGACATGTCTGGAGATGATATCTGACATTCTATTCAGAACTAAGCAAATGATGGGTGCTATGCAGATCTAAAATGTTTCTCAAAACTCTTGCATTCAGAAGTAGGGCTTTTCAAAGGTTGTAGAATCACAGAGGCACCCATCAGTGGATTTATAGCTGAATGTGCTGCCAAAGACGGGCTCCAGGAAAAGAAGTGGGTCCCCAGGGGCGTGACTCGTAAGAGCGTACTCTTTGTCTCCGGCCCGTCACTTCTCTCATCCTGGTCCGCATAGGTTGAACGTCTTTCCTCTTCCACACCTTTCAACATATTGTTTCTGCCTTGGAGTCAGAAAACCACAGACCTGCCCATTGAAAGCCATGAGCATGAGACAAAATAAACCTTACCTTCTTTAAACTGCCAGTATTTTGTTCCAACAGAAGGAACATCAGTAATACAATGGGAATACTGGACTTACTGACAGTTGGATTTTGGTGGTGGTTGTTGTTGAAAACCATTGGGCAGGAATTTGACAAAACTGAGCACAAAGCCTGGCACTACCACTGATACCCTGCAGCCATGTGCAAGCTGATTCCCTGCTGGATTTTGGTTGCATCAGTAGGAAAATGAGGCGGGTGGTAGAGGATGGCTCTGAGATGGTGAGATTCACAGACAATGAATGTTCTCCCCAAATAGCAAGGAATGGAGGAGAGATCTGACAGAGATAACTGTTTCCTTTTTTTATCTCTCTCTAAGTGAGAATATTGAGTAAGACAGATATATGTTATCATCAGCATCATTTCATAAAGGAAAGGAGGATTTAGCACCATTTAAAAATCACAAGATAGGCGAAAGTGGCATTGTGATCTGACATCAGTCTGCTTCCTGGCACATGGGAACTGCACAGAGTTTTCCTTTTCCTTCTCTTAATCTTGAGTCCCACATGATCATGGGTGGGCGTCCCCTGTCCTCAGACACACTGGGACAGCAATGCTTGTGGCTCCAGTTCGATTGACCCCTGACGCAGCTCTTCCTTTCAGTAACAGGGTGGAGCAGTCCTGCCGTCCAGCCAGCTGTGGGGAGCAGGCGCCATCTTCCCACCCAGCTGGAAGCCTTGATGATGGACTCATTGACCAAAGAGTATTGAAACAGAGGTGAGGCGGTAGCTCTCAGTCATCCTGAAGCCAAATGATAACTCTATTCTTTATTTTTAAATGAGAGTTCATGTGTTTAAGTGTGTTTTTACTTTGAAATCTTTTGTTTTCTTAGAAAGGAATTTTTTTTAACAAATGAAGCTATTGGATGAAATACAAAGGTTTTTCTCTTCCTTGTATCAGAATAGTAAGGTTTTGAAAGGATGCCATCCATCTCTTTCATATATATATTCCTAGGAAAACAAAATAGAATTTCTCCATCATAAACTATCCACAGTCACCTGTAGCAGCCACAAAACGATGGCACATATTCAGCAAATAACAACCTGTAGAAATATGTCTGTGGAGCTGTTCGTCTCATTTTGAGTTTTGAACCAGTTACTTTAACTTAACTCTCCGTGGGACAGAGGTGCTGTCTGGGTAAAGAGTTCCTCTACATTCCAACTCTGGGTTTTACATGGTGTATGGATTCTTTTGGAACAAAGTAGACTGTAGACTTGAAGAACCACACACAGGAATGTGGTGCTCGGACAAAGTTATGACCATGATCCTGGTAAAGAAGCCTCAGTAGCCTTCTGAGCACCAAGGCCGCCTGGGCCAGGCATCACATGTGTCTATACTTGATGGGTGTTGTCTTCAGTTGCTAAAAAGCTAGTGAATTTCCATAAGTGTACGGCTGCCAACAAAAAGAGACTGTTGCTTAAACGGAGGGAATCTTCAGGTGACGCCCAAGTGAGGTTGTGGTCCTTGACAGCTTTTACAAACCTCTTATCCTGTCATCTCACTTGGTCCTCACACTAGTCATACAAGGGAGGCATTGTTCTCTCTGTTTTGTAAACACATAAATAAAATGGAGATTTAGAGAGTCAGGGTTTCTAACTAGTTGTCTCAAATGAGATCCCCCAGGATTAGGGCTCACCTTCCTTTGTCGAAGACTCCTGTTTGGGATGGTGACCTAGAAGCCGGAAGAGGGCAGTCTAGGTGGCAGATTCGATCCCTGGCCTGAACTATGGTTTAGGAAATGCGATCACGTTTTGAAGTGTCTTCGTTCTCTCCTTTCTGCTCACGGATGTTCATTCATTCCTGGGCTTTGTCTTTGCTCCTGGTGTGTGGAGTGGGCTGAATGTTTTCAGCTGCCCCTTCCCACATGAAGCTGCCCCCAGGCAGTCCCCTCTGCCAGGAGCGGATGGTGACTGGTCCCGGAGGTGTCTTCCCCATACCGCTGTCTCACATCCTGCTCTGCACAGTGGGAGTGCAATCCCTTCTCCCGGTGCTCCTGTGAGTGTGAAACCGATGTGTGCTGGGTGCCAGGCAGAGAACAAGTGTGGAGAAGTGGTGTGTGTGCCCGTTGTCCCCAGCCTTGCCCCACTGGAGCTCTGCCCTTCCTTGGCAGATTTTCCCCTCTCCCTACCTGCTGTCCTGACTACAGGGATCCCCCCAGCCAGTGACCGAGTCTTTCAGGTTCTGGGGAAGAAACATGGACAGGTCCAGTGTGGACAGATGGCCTCTCACAGGCGTGGGCTCTTTGAGAGAAGAGGTGAACAGGGTCCTTCCCCTTGTGCCCTGTGTCTAATCCAAGGCTGGGGACTGGACTGGGGTAGTGAGATGAACTCAGCAGAACGCCCTCAACCTTGTCTTCCTGCCCCCGCAGTGCTGGGCAGCCCGTGGTACGCATGCTACAGCCAGCTCTTTGCTATCATTGAACGCTGAGAGCTTCTCCATCCCTGACCAAGCGCTGCGTTCATTTGACAGATGTTGGAGAGAGGCTTCTTGCCTGACTATGCAACCAAGCTATGTTGTTTCCTTCCTCAGCTACCTGAGACCTGCTTATCCTTCAAGATTCCCTGAAACCCATCTCCAGCAAGCCCCAGGAACATCCTGACCAAACACGAAGCCCTTCTCACCTGTATTGTGTCCTCTATGAGATCTTGCTTTGATTGGAAAAGTAGGTAAAGAAAGTTGAGCACAGTGGTGCCTCCTGGATCCCAGCACTATGGAAGTCTCAGGCAGGAGGATCACAAGTTTGAGCGCACCTAGGAAATCCAGGGACTTAGTGAGACCCTACACCCACCCCCTCAAAAAAATACTGGAGATGTGAAGATCATCAGGGTTTGATTCCAAATATCCCTGCCTCCTGATCACTTCCAAGTCTGAACTCTGCCCTCCAACTGTGGGCATTGTGAGGACAAAGGCACAGACCATATCCTTTTCTATGGTGAACTCAACATTTTGCTCAGCCACAGGTACTCAGATACTCAGTCAAACTTTTTAATTGAACTAAGGATGTGGGAGCAAAAGAAAAACCAAATATATTTTCATGGGATGGGATAAATATTTGAATAGCATCAATATCTTTTCAAACCTTTTGATCCAGTCCACATTACATGGGTTAATTTGTTACTTTTGTGGATTTTTAAGCCATTCACCCACAGTGGGCTGCAAAGCTGAGGATGGTTGGCCACGGTGCCATGAAAATGAAGCCAACTGCTTCCAGCAGACAGGAAGGGCTGGCTTTGGGGTCTCACCTGCCGAGCTCAGGTCCTGGCTCCTCTGCTTCTCCAACAAGGTCTCTGCACCCCACGGGGCAGGTCATCCACCTTGATATGTATGTAGTCCTCGAAGTCCAAAGGAGATGCCACTATGAAGCACCTGGCCACATCATCAGTGTAGCAAACACTGTTATTGTGACATTTTTCTCTGTGTTCCCTAAAAGCAATGTATGCTTTCTGTCCACATGATTTGCAGCCAGAAAGACAAAGCAGCCTCTTTAGCCCAGAAACTGAATGGAGTTTTCTCCTGAGACGGGTGATTTTGTGCCCTTTACTGAATTGTTTAAATCATCTTTCAGGGAGCAAGAATCATTATGTCCCATTCTAATTGTGCTTTTCCTGTCTTTTGGGAATAGCTTTTCCTGCAGGGATTTCTTTGTTTTTTTATCTACCCTAGTAGGGACCATTCATTGCTCTTTTAATGTTTAGTAAAACATAAAATCAGGCAAATGGATAGAGGTTTCCTCTGTATTATTTTAAAGAGATTTTTTTACTTTTAAGTACATGTGTGCAGATGTTTTTCTACTGCTTTGGGACATAATTATAAATTAGCCATGGATTCATGTGCTTTTAAAAATTGTTTTAATGATTTTTTTCTTGTTCAGCTTCTGTCACGAGATGATATAGAATGAGCCTATGCCTCAGCCTGTGCTCAGTGTGGCAAATGATTGTTCTGCAAAGCTCTTGGTGCTTGATATTCAGCCACTTCCTCAAGTGTAGCTCAGACACAGGTGGGGAGACACCTGTGCATTCTGTGCGAGGGTGTTATTACAAGGGTTTGGTGAAGCCCACCAGCCCCGTTACAGGTCTCTTAGCACAGTTCAAATTAGAGGCTGATTAGGTTTCTCAGTCCCTGTACTTTTGAGTCCTCAGAGTTTGGGCAAGTGAGGGCGGCAGGGTTAGTGACCATTACAGTGCCTGACACAGAGATCAACAAAGGTTTGTTATGGGAAGGAACAGAGGTGCTGAACATCTTCTGTGGTCCCATGTGGTTGAGTCAAATCTATGTGACAATAGCAGAGAGTCAAAGAGCCTCTAGGATGTTGGGGTGAGATACAGTACCTTGAGAGACACTGTCACACCTGGTGGTTACATCATAGCTACATTAGTCAGCTCAGGTGGGGGAGAGGAGATACAAGTATTAGACCAGGACACCAATCCTGCTAGTGGCCAGGACTGGTGAGTTTGAAGAAGGATAAGAAAGCAGTTAAGAATGTAGTTTTAAATGCTCATTCTGCTCTCGGTAAGCTGAGTAAGCTTGGGCACTTTGGATACTTTCCAACCTTTGTGGGTTTTGTTTCTCTCATATATAAAGTGAACCGAAGAATAAGTTAATATATAGAAAACTGTGGGGTTCTGGAACTTTGGAGGAGCTCCCAAATATCAGCTCTTATTTATGTTATCTGGCCAGTCACCAAAGCACAGGGCCCAGTGAGATTCAGACAGTTCTGGTCTCTGTTCTAAGAGGTGGTCCCGTGTTTAAGAGCAGGATTTGCAGCAGAGGGTGCAGCTGCCAGCAAGGCCTGGAGCCCCGCAGGACTTGGGCTCCAGCCCAGAGAGGAGAAGCTTTGCTCTCCCACCCACCTGGGTAGTCGCCATAGAAAACAAAACAGAAACAAGTCCTGTGAACCAACCCTTGCAAGGGGAGGCGGAGGGGCTTCAGGAACATGCGTGCAGGAGAAACCCCTAACCCCTGAGGGGACTCAGAGACCACACAAGTGGCATGGTTTCACATTTGGTTACCAAATACCAGGCCACAGGAACAAGGACGAGAGGGTGAGATTCAGGAGCCTACTACAGGGTGTGGGGAAACATTCCCCTCAAGGTCCTGAGTTTGGGATGGGTTACACACAGAGCTCCTGTCCTATATTAGAGATTCCCAGGGTTTAGGAATATCGTCAAGGCTGTGTGGAGTCCTCCAGTAAGAAACTCCATTTACCTGTTTAACCCTGTTTAACCCAGAAAGTTTAGTTAACTTTCTTTGGGCAACATCTTTTGATATCACAGGAAACAGCTTAGAAAACACTGACCCTAGGTCAGGTTTCAGTGCTGCAGGTCCTGAGTATAGAGCAACAAGGCAAACCAGGCCTCCTCTGACCCCCCAGAGGAGCTTTCCAAGGAGTAAGTAAAGAGCAAATAAACACAACACCCTGTTATGGGCACCTTCAAATGCTATGAAGATCCATGACACAAGAGGGGTGGGAGATAAAGAGTGTGTGTGTGTGTGTGTGTGTGTGTGTGTGTGTGCACGCACGCATGCATGTGCAAGCAAGCATGCATGTGTGTCCAAGGACAAGAGGACTTTATTTAGAAAGGGGTTTTGGGGAATCCCTTCTGCTTTAGATGATTGCTGACCATGGACCCAAATAAAGTGAAGCGTGCTGGCTCCCTATACTAGAACTGAACCACTCTTCCATGGAGAACACCTGCAGACCCAGCTGAACAGGAATT